CTATTGTGGCATCCTTGCCCTCGACAACCTCTCCAATACTCTTAAGCTTGCCTTTGTAGTGCTCAGCCATGGAAATCTCAGACCCAATCTTGCACATGATGGACCTGAGTGCATTCTGGTAGGCCATTTTACCAAGGAGGATGATGTTGAGGTGAGGTGAGCTGTTGTTCTTGTGGGTGTAGGGCTTGTTTTGATATTCACTTGGTGGGAGAACAGCATGGCAGGCTGTGAGGAGAAGCTCATTGCTTTCACTGCCTTTCTGGAGGTAGAGACCACCAGTGGCTTTGCAGTAAGGGTGGGCTCTGGGAGCAGTTTGGAGACTGAGTACAAGAGTGAATGGGAGGCGTACATCAGCAGTTGGGTCAATGGATGGGGTGTGCACATTGGCAGCTGGATCAGTGGAGAGGTTGTGTGCATTGGCAGTTGGATCAGCAGAGAGGACGCAGTTGAGGAACTACATCTCCTCACAAAAATAACAGCTCACCTCACCTCAACATCATCCTCCTTGGTAACATGGCCTATCAGAATGCACTCAGGTCCATCATGCACAAGATTGGGCTTTCATTGAGCTAGACAACAAGAAGATTGACTGAGATGGTTTTAGAGGCAATGTAATCTATCTTGGTACATTTTGATATATTTCACTGAGATCGTCTAGTTCAACTGTGATATTAGGAACCAAACTTACACCTGCTGATTTCATCTTCAAGAACCAAGATGTACTCTCACTTCAAGTCCTGCACCTTGTTCGAATATCTGCATGCTGAGCTCCTCACCTCATTTGAATTTCTGCATGATGGTCTCTTACAGCTTTGAGACATCATGAAGAAAGATGAGCTATGCCACCTGACTATGCCTGAGCCCGATGAGAATGGTGAAGAGTGTATCATTGTCATCAAGAATGGCAACACCATCAGTGTTACCTTTGGTTGAGCAACTGGCATTGAACCCTTTGTCTGGGAACTTATGACAACTCCGGCATCCATTTGACGTCCATGGAAATAGCAATCTACCTGCACAGCCAGAAGGATGGTGCTTTTTCTGCACCCGGGAATTCTGGGTCTATCATCACTAACACCAAAAGTTGCATTGTCGGCATGATTGCCAGCAGTGCCAGCCAGATGGGCTCTATTGACATTACCTATGCATTGCCATACTACTAGATTGAGGAGCATATCAAGGAGGCATTTCCCAACTTCTACCTTTACCTGATCGCGGTCTAGTAGGCTGTGACATTGATGCAGGACAATATTGAGGAGTCAACAACAAGGACATTGGTGTTCTTTTTCATCTTGCTTCTACTTATGCAACTTTTTCTCTTTCACTCTTCTTTTTTTGTTACATTTTTATTATAATCTATGTGCTAGTTATCAGTGTTGACAAGTGCTTGACTGGTGGACTGCTGTCCAAGTTGGTCTTTTTCTCTCTCACCTCTTCGTATAACTAACACCCCTGATGTTTAGGTCTTGGACTGGTGGGCTTGTCTTTCAGGTTCATCTTGTTTCTTTCCTCTTGTTTTTCACTTAATTAACAGCCAATAGCAATGGCATCATAGACTTGTTGTATAGTTGCTTTCCTTCTTCAGACAAAGCTAGTGAGGCTAATCAGTGAGACATGTCAGGTCCCAATGATAGAAGCATTGTAGCATGTCCAACTAGTGTCTTATTGTCACCTGGAGGGCTGTGTATATGTACAATATAGCAACTCAGACCATGAAAAATGTCTCGCCTGTATCTGGTAGTCACTTTCTTCTAAAACAAGTTTGTCATGTAGGAGGATTGTTTATAGCAACAAGACGTGAACAATGGAATTATTTGACCTTTGGCGTATGAGCTCGAGATTGCAAGTGGGGCAACAACAAAGATCTCTTCTCGTAAAAGTGTGAGACAAGTAGCTGAATGCAATGGCTACAACGAATAACACTTGTTTTACACCGTAACAGCAAGTCAGAGCCATTGGTATGGTACGCCAGATGGTCACGGTTCAAACAATTTGTTGACCATGACGTTATGTCACTCCACGCTCTTTGTCTCGCTTTGTCCTTTGTTATCTTATTAACATTTGATCTGAGATACCTAATACAGCTGGCCGACGTTGGTACTTCCCAGCTCTGCTCTCTGTGGACAATTTCTGCATATCAACATCTACAGCGGCCTGGTTTACACGGCATACTGGTGGCAAATTATGAATACACAAACGAAAGTGATATTTGTGGAGAGCACAAGCAGCAAGCGCCTCTGATAAATCGGGCACATCTTTAACTTGAATATTGAATGGCTTGCTCAAAGTGGAAAAATGAACAAGGATATCTGCTAAACTAACAAGAGTACCATAACACTCAAGAACATCAATTCTCGTACACCCCAAAATCTGCTCGGTTCCTGCAGCCAGCTCAGGGGCCACCCAAGTGCTCAATACTAGGCGTTATTGTGTTAAAGACCTGAGTGGTCCTTCCGCCAGCGGCCAGTCCCTTAACGTACCTTTCCAGTGTGCGTGACCTGCTCACCAACAGGTGGGGAGGCTGGGAGGAAGACCGAGATACTCCTGGCTCACTGATGTATATGTCCATCACTAGTGCACAAAAGACGAAGTCCAGTAGCTTCAAGCATGACATGGCACAAACCTATGTCACCCCATTTAATTTTGAACCGCGACTGTCCGGTGCTCCTTACATTGGAGCACAAATGGACAATCAG